CTTTGCTGTGTATTGAAGTAAGATATCTATTATACATATGACCGAAATTGTTTCAGCCACATAAATGTCTATGGTTGGCTTTACGAGACTCTCGATTTTTTTTTTTTGATAGAAAACATTGTCCTATATGCAAAAGATCTGGCACAAAATATTAACCGATAAGGCAAGGTTATATAGAACACGACGATCATCATCAAGTCTTATGGGTTATGCCATTTGTGAATATAGGCGTATAGTTCGTACAAGAAAGGCAAAGGAATAATTGAATCTACGTATTTTTGCCATTACATTGTTAACTTTAAAACATCAAGAAATTTGTATATAGTTACAATGTGTTTTAAATGCTTAATTTGAACGAGTCAAGTTGACTCAAGTTGAAATACACAGTATATAGTTTAGAATAAAAAAAAAAAACTTTAATATAGGATAATACAAGATTTATAATAAATTTTGTATGTTGATATTCTATTATAGCTATATTATGAGAGAACGATCAGAAATAATCTGATTATGAATTTTTTTGTCATCACAATTTTACCTTAAAAATAGAGCGTTCTGGACAATTAACCAAGCACATTTCTATCATATAAGTCTAATACTGTTATACTATCTAAAACTGCTCCTGTTAAAACTGATAACCTGTTTAATCCTGATAAAAAATTAATCTACCAAATACGTTTTTGCTATATAAATTTAAAAGTTTATACGTAGTAATATTGATATTATTTATTTCCAAAAATAAAAATTAATATCAATATCGATATTGACAATAATTACCGTTATGGATTTGGTTTAATCGGGTTTGAATCCGGATTTAAATCAAATCCGAAGGAAATCGGATTTAAATCCGAAGTTCAAATCCGGTTCCAAACTCTAATTCGAAACTAAATATCACTAACGCTAATAAAATAAATTTGAATTCAAAACCGAAATCTGGTTCCAAGCTCTACTAATGATATTATTGTCCGGCAGTTGTTACGATCATATCGATATGCATTTGATCATAAATAAGCAATGTGCTCTAACATGATATAGGCCCAAAGTTTTGTCCTTTAAGCAGTTTTATCAATGGAATTTTTTTAATGTTATACGAAAAGAAAAATCTATATGATAGTGGCTAATATGCAATATAGTTCTTGTGAGCCCTAATTGAGAAGATCGATTAACTTAATAAGAAAAAAGTTTTCCTTTGGCGAATGCTATATTCAGAGTATATGTGATTTATATAGTGACCTGCATCATGTTACACTATGATGCACCAGGTAACTGGCAAATCACCAATTAAAATTTTTTTTTAAAAAAAAATTTTGTATAACCTTTGACCTAATCTTTTACTTAGTAAAAAGTTCAAAAAACCAAAATCAGTGAGATATAAAGTATGTAGAATTATGTACTAAACAAATTTGCTTAAGAGGTCAGAACAGGTTATTTAAACAAAAAAAAGTTTTATATAGAAAAACTGAAAATTTTGACATTAGTATATAGAAAACTTTTTTTTTTACTAAAATAACCTTTTGGTTACCTAGATTGAAGTTGTTTAAAATATAATTTTACATATAATTCTTACTTTAAATCTGCTAAATTTTTTTTTTTGACAAAGTTATATTTTTAAATTGTATCAAAATTGCAACATTTTTATTCAGTCCAAAATATGTCTTTTTCACCTTTTCTTGATATATTTATTTGTAAAATTTAATTTAAAGTTAATATGTAAATGAAGAAATATCATCGCAACAAAGTTTATATATAATTCTATATATTTTTGCTATAAGTTTATATATACAAAAATTTAGGTATAACATATCATACAACTGTTATATAACTCTTCTAATATAACTCCCTAGCATTACCACCCTAAAAAATTTCACTACTATTTCACTAGCCAATCAGAATTCAAGATCTAGTATAATACAAAACAATGCAAAAAATCAAAACAAACCAAAAAATCATTTATAACTCAACATTTTACCTATGAAACTGCTTTCTGTGCATTAACAAAAAGTTTTTCTTGTAAAATTTTGGTATTCAAAAAACTTTCTTTAACTAATTTAATAGCAAAACCTAACCTTAATTTAACTGTGAAATTTTTTTTAGCAAAATTTTTTAAGTTGGTGATGCTAGGGTCTTATCTAAAATCAACATTAACCCTAACACTGGTCAAAATTTCACGTACTTTTAGCAAAATAACAACAAATGAATATTTACTATTGGTATGTGATTTGTATCACTTGTGCAAATAAGTAAATCTCTATTCAATAGCACCAGATCTTAGCCATCTAGAAAGTGCTTTGATTATGATAAAAAATAATTAAAGATAATAAAAAAAAGAAATGAAACACAAAATGTTAATATAGTTTTTGAAATCAGCATGTCATAAATAGCGTGATGTGTAAATATGAAAGGCATAAATTTCAATATGATTGGCTCAACACTTTCATGCACGTGAAGGAAAACACGAAAGCAGGGACCCAGAAAAATATCGATATGACTCGAGCAAAAGTATCTATCAATATAGTCAAAAATACAGGTAGAACAATAATCTTTTTTCACGAGTATTCTTTCAAAAATATTTGGTGCGATATACAACTTTTCCAAATATTTTCTTTATTATCAAATTCTTTCTGTATCTCTTTCACATGTAATATAAAAGGTTGAAAAATATTTAGAAGATATTCAGAAAGGTTGCACATCACACCAAGGATCTTTGAAAGAATACTTGTTGAAAAGGTTTATTGTTCTATCTGTGAAAATATCGATTTATATCGATTCACCTGATCAAACCTTACTTTAGTAATATAAATTAAAATCGATTAATCGATTAGTTGGTGTAATTGGCAATTAATTGATTAAAAATTTTTAAACCAACCAACTAATCAATTGCCAATTCATATTATGATAATGATCACAAATTGAAATCGATTAATTGATTAGTTGTCCTAGTTGACAATTAATTGATTGAAAATTTTTAATTAATCGCCTTACTTCCTTACTTGCTCTCTGAAACTTTCTGACGACCCGGGTTTGCCAAATTCATATCACGTGGCCAAAATTATGTTATATGCTACTCTTAATTTTGCTTGAATTTAGTAATGCTACATTGCATTAAAAATACAAATTATCGATTTTCTTATTGGCCTAAAAATATCGATTTATATTGATCTATATAAATAATTAATATTTTTCCATGTCCCTACGTAAAGGATAAAAATGATTATTGGGCCCAGAGAATCCAAAAGAGTAACTAATCTTAGAATCTTTTACTGATCAATTTTATATTGTATATGAGTGCCGCCAAGGGAAAATATCGCTCTGATAATTATAGATGATTCAGCCTTTCTGATCAATGACATATCAGGCTTTCAATATAACTAACCCTGAAAAGTCATTTTGGTAAAATGTCATAAATTTGGTAGATCAAAAAAATTTTTGATTAGATATTCGAAATACTTTTCAAAAAAAAACTTTTCATCGTAGAGCAACTCTTAAGTAAACAAATAACCTTTTAAATCGAAACACACCACAAAAGACTTTCTGAAAGATTGAGCAAAAGTATTATAAGTAAAAGCAGTTAAAATTCAGAGAATTTACAAACAATATAGAAAAAGCAGTTGATCTCATGTTCTAACTTTGTTATATTCTAATCTTGTTACAAAGTTGCCAAGCTGAAATGAAAAACAAAGAAACTGGTAAAGGCT